TCCATTTCTTTTTTGGGGGGAGACGTTTTTGCTATAGGGCACGTGCGCTCGCCAGAAAGACAGAGAGAGACAGAGAGACAGAAAATGAGAAATCACATACACACACCCCCGCCAGGGGGGATGGCCATGCTGCAATCCCTTCTCCTCCATTCTCCTCTCGGGATCTTGGGCATGCACACACATGCACCCGGCGTGAGTTTAAGCCACTGGGTCTGAGACTCAAACCGCAGTCGGCTACATGGGAGTCCAGCGACATAGCCATTACGCTAACTCCTGGTCCCAAAAGTATGTCCATTTCTATACATGCCTCCTGATAACATTGGGGAAGAGTTTGCCTGGTTTGGAGCCATGTGAAGTGCTAATTCTTTACAACAGTGAGAATGATGCTGTTTATTCCACCTCAGACTTAGTTGATTGACATTGATGAGTGAGTATTCATGTCAAGTTCATGCACGGAAACTATTTTAAATTCTACTAAGAACTCGTGGGCAATAGCAATAATTAGAATACCACCACTGACTAGTAAGATACTCAGCTTCCGAGAGGCCTAAATGAGTCTTAATTGTTTTTATTTGTTTCTTTAGAGACTTTCGTAATAGGGAACATGTGCTCACTGAAGAGACAGACAGAGACAGAGAGACAGAAAGTGAGAAATCACCCTCTAGGGAGGATGGCCACACCGCAGTCTCTTCTCTATTCTCCTCTCAGGATTTTGGGCATGCACATTACATGCCCAGCATGAGTTTCAAGCCACTAGGTCTGGGACTCAGACCATGGTTGGCCATGTGGGAATCCAGTGCCTTAACCACTGTATCTCTTACTGGGGCCAGTCTGATTTTTTTTTAATGCAGTTTTGTAATTTAGAGATGTGTTTAATCAAACATAGAGGCATGGAAGGATTCATGTGAAAGCAAGGGGTGTGTCAGAGAAATGAGTCTATATCCCTCTCCACTTACCTAACTAATTCTGTTTGCTTTAAGTTTATTTAATTTGTGAATGAAAGAGAAAAAAAGAGGAAGTGCACCTGACAGGGTCTTTTCACTCCAGGGTCCTGTGCTCCAGTCCTCCAGCTGTCAGGCTCTTGGGCATGCACATGCCATGTGTTTCAGGCCATCCAGGCTGGGTATCCGGACCCGTGGTTGGCCAAGCAGCCTCCGGCTCTGCAGTTTGGAACTCTATGGCCTGCACACCACAGCTGGCCTCCGTAGCTGGTTCTTATTCAACTTTGAAAGTGAGGAAGGAATG